AATAATAATAATAATAATAATAATAACAATAATTATAATAATAACACCCAGATTCATCTATCTATATATATAAAAATGAAATGTTTTCCGTATGACGGCGATGTCTGACCAAACGGCTGAACCGATTTCAATTCTGTAGAAAGCACATTTTTGGACCTTTTGTGTGGAAGGTTTTTTGATTTAAAAATATTTGAAATTTTTTGTTGTTGCCGAAAAATGAAGAAAGCTGAGACTTCACGATTTCACAATTTCATAGTTTTCCGTATATTGAATGTCACTAAACTACTAAACGGCTGGACCAATTTCGTTCATATTTGGAACATATGTCAGTACCTTGAAGGGAAATATTCCGACTAAAAATTTAACCGCTAGGTGGCGCTGGGGCCGGGATATTCATAAAAATTGCATTTACTTGCCGATTTGGAACATACGTTAGCCAATTGAAAATAAATATTGGGACTCAAAATGTACACGATAGTGGCATTGTGGACGAGATATTTCTAAAATTCTTATACACTGGGATAATGATAGATATCTACTATATATTTGAAGAAGTATGTATGTATGTACATATGTATGTAATAGGGATGCCAAAATACCAGCAAAATTGGGATCCCGGGATTTCGGGATATTTTTTAGGTAATCCCGGGATCCCGGGATTTATCCTGGGATTCAAATCGAGTCATAAATTTTATGAATATGAGTAAAAATTCAATATCTGAAAGCATTTAAACATACCATGAAATAAAACTATTTAAAATTTACGATAAACTGATTGTGAAACTCATATATCGCTAGCTTAGAGTGCAAAGTTGCTAACTTCACTTTTAATGAAAAATCATATTTTGATATAGGAGGCTAGATAAATTAATATTGCATCGTTTCGAAAAGGTCCTTGTTTTATGTTTTCTCGTTTATATTCAATGAAAGGAAAATTTGCTAAGGCCAAAAAAAGCTCCGAAAATTCGATAAGGTCAAAAAAGTTCGAAATCTTTTAATGAAGATCGAATCCCTCTGATTCGTATGGGGCTTTGCTTTGCTTTAAGCAGGCAAAATGTTGTATTGAAAGTTTTGCGAAATACTTGAACAAAATGACTACATGAAGTTTTTTCCTCTCCTGTACAATTTTTAAATTGGGACTTAGCAAC